CATACCTGCGTGCGCAGCTTTTATAAAATAATATTTTGAACGATAAAATTATTTCTGGAATTATTACAAATTCTGAGACAGCAAATGGCCAATTATTATATTAACGAAGATGTGAGACTGAAAGTATACAGTATTGCCATATACTCTTCAGTGTTGTTTAATTTAATTAAGATGTATCTTCAAAGTAGACTTTGTTTGGTAAAGAATTAATGCTTACGGGGAAAATATTTAAAATTATAATGAAATAAAGTTATTTATAAACAGCACCGGCTTTAAATAGAACATGGTATAAACTTCTCCCCAGATGCTTTCGAATAAGTAAAATAATAATGAAACTTTTGCTGAACACAATTTACATATTATTGACAGATGTTACTTTTAAGATATCGGTATTATCTTTTGTTTTCATTGCTCCGGGAGTTCCTTGATTCCCAGCAGATTTTAATTTTCCTTTATTCCTTCATTTTTTAACATCTTTTCAGTGCTTATTTCCGTAGAAAGACCGCTGGATAACAATGATCACATAGATTGTACTTATCTATACTTAACCCGCAAGTTCTTAGTATTACTAAATAACAAGTATAGGTCAGTTAAATATAGCTAACAGAGTATTGATATCAAATTTAGATTAATTATCAAGCATTTAGCATGATAAATGACGAAAAGGATGGTCACTTGCTACTGGTTAGATAGGTCGTAAAGTCATGCCATTGTTTATTCACACGGGAAAACTTATGACATCAATCTGACACGCTAAACTGTACGTGATATAAATCAAAGATAATTAGAGATGGAATTAAGAAATTATGTTATAAATACAAATTTGAATTTGAAACGAAGGAACCCGATTAATTGCTAAAAAGTGAATAGCGTTATAATGATGTTATTAAAATTATTTGCTGAAATACATTGCTTGGGATTCGTTTCAACTGTTTAAGGAATGTTTGAAAAAAATTATCCTTATATCGTTGTAAAGCCAATTGGTCTACAATAAATACATTTGTCATAAGTATTTCAAATATTGAGTAAAACTACAGAAATTTAGCATTTTGATAATCTCCACATAATGCTTGGAAGTAGATAAAGTGTTATGTGATTAATATGAACATATAAATTATGAATATTAATATTGTTTTCTAGATTTTTTTTATAATCTGCTTTATTCAGTAATATGTATGCAATATGGGATCATATATACTGAAACTTAATATTATGTCTTATTCTGAGTAATATTATATACTGTATTAAGATTTTCTTTTATAGACCAATCCACTTTAATATGATACAACTCAAGCTTTCCTTCCTGTGATAGAGGTTTGTTATCTTTTTTAAATAAATTTTTATTTTCAAATCATTATTATGATGATTTTGTTATTATAAAGGTAAAGGCAGATGAATTTCATCGGATGATCCTATTGGAACAACATAAAGTAAAGCAAATATTACACAACTCGGTTATGCCGCTGCGAACGATAAGTAGATATGTACAAGCTAAATAAAACATAGTTGAATTGTTGAGCACGTGGCTTATTATCAGGGTCCACATAAATTATGTTGTAAATCCTTAACCTTGACCTGTAACATGTTCGGCTTAGAAAGTCTCTGATTTTCTTTCAAACTTTCTTTCAAAAATATTCATTTGTAGTTAGGCTTGCCCTGTCCTGTTTTTGTTTGGGTTCCTCCTGGGCTCCTTGCCACTGGCGCATGTTACTGGGTCGGGTGGGGGCTGCATTCATTGAACGCCGCCTTTACTTGTTGATCTTTTTTATCATATATTATATTGTAAATGACGTTTTACCGGATATAAAGCTTTATCTTAATTTGAAATATTTTTTTTATTTTTTCAACAGTGTAATCATTTTGGTTCCATACTATAATCGTCAGTTCTCGAAACAATATTAGTGTGTTAGAAACAAATACGAGAAAGTCAGAAAATAAACGGCAACATTCATTTAATAACCATACAACAAAAGCAATTCATTAAACAGTCACGGTCAACAAAAACATTACATAATGTAAATCAAACATACATATCAAACTGATTATATTTTCTTCGTCAAATGTATCTTGTAGTCTATGTATGTCGTAACTTTTTTGTTGTTGAATGTTGTTACAAACAAAGTAACTATATCAATTATAATTATAGTGAAAATGTTAACATTGAAAAATTATATTGTATTGGTTCGAAACTGAGTACCATTTAATGAAATACTTTGCACGTCTAAAGGCACTCTCCTGTTAATATCCTTTGAATAATTTTGAATACAAGTCAACAAGGGATACACAAATAAGCTACATGTACAACAATATTCTATAAAAATAACATCAACTTAATAAATTAATATATGTTTGCGTATAACTAATGAAATATATCAAGTTTTATTTGATGAAAAGGAGAGGCTTATTTCAGAACAACAACTCTTTCGAGAAATGTGAATTAAAATTAAATGTTTAACATCACATATAATGTAATAAAAATCATAAAACGAAGAAAATTAAGGAATGTAAATGGAAAAAAGGAATTAGATCATATAAACATATTACACAAAACAGTTTATTCTGATTAAAAGCACCCAATGTTTTCAGCTTATTAAAATTACTTAGAATAAAAAAGCTTTTGATTATAGCGGGTTAAATATAAATTGTTTAATGATAATGTGTGTTTAAGTTAACAATGAAAAACGTATATATTTTTAAAATTTATGTTAAAAATATCTTTGAGAAGATATTCTGTGATTATTGACTTACAAGAAATATTAACAGTTATTTACTTAATAATATACTTATGTTTTATGTTACAATTTTTGAGGTCGAAAAAGTTTATTCAATGATTAATTTTTAAAATGAAATTAAATCTGACACTACAGTAGTTATTTGCTGTATATAGTGCCGTTTTTGTATCGTGCAAGCATAATAATAACATGTTCATGATAATAAATATGGGGAGAATAGAAGTTGCTCCTTACAAAATAAATAAACACAGTTTTCTGAGCTTCTTAGACAGTGTTATAATAATATGTAGTTAATATTTCTAATGCAAGATACAAATTTGTCATCATTCACGTTTAACAGATAAATATGACATGTATATATAATAAAGAATATATCGTATAACGTTAACGGTAGAAGTGATTCTTATTTATTTTATTCATACATCCACATGTCACCAAAAATATATAAATTTCCAAAAAAAGTTAATAGTAAGAAAAATAATTGTCTAAATTTGAGAAACATTTAAAGTAAAACAAAATGAAAAGAATAGAATACCTTGTTTATTTTAAACCATATATCCTTATTTTACTAATTGTCATCATATGTTGTTCTGTTACACAGATAGGACTATTTTTAAACTATGTTGTGTAGTACGTGCATTATGGTATGTACATTTTTACTTTGTTACAGATCTTAAGAGCTGTATTTAAACATATGTTTCAACAGCATAAAGATATTAACTTGAGTTGAATGGTAATCAATAAGTATGTAAGCCGATGTCTAGTAGGAAGGGGTTTCGTTTCTCATCATAGACGTTATAAAACAATTATTATATTCAGATATTAATCTGATTTTATGACTAAATGGATCTTCAATACTTCTAAATTGTCCTTTAAAATATATAGAAGATTAATTATACAGGTGTAAATATGTGATATATAACTAAGACAGACATATAATTTAAAAGAAATCGAAAACTTGTATTAAATATACCAAGCCAAAAAAGCATAACTTCATTCTATGAGTAAAAAATTCTGGAAACAAAGTGATCCCTCGGAAGCATTAATCACAACAAAATAACATAAGAATTGCAGACTCGGTTTGATTGAGTCTGTACATGAGGGATAATGAATACGTGCAACATCCTTCACGCCCCCTAGCACCGGCTTGAGCGGTACTCAATTCTCAACACTTCATAGTGTTGGCATCAATGATCCCGAAGGACCAGAAAATATAACAACACTGAAGTGAAGTACGGGGCAACTTTTTACGGCTGCCACACGGCACTTGACACCTGCTGTTGTGAAGTACAAAATTCTGGAAACAAAGTGATCCCTCGGAAGCATTAATCACAACAAAATAACATAAGAATTGCAGACTCGGTTTGATTGAGTCTGTACATGAGGGATAACGCTGCCTTTTTTTAAAAAACGCTACTAAGCTTAACAAATGCTGATTAGATAACGGGTAACGTAAACAATATATAAATGTTTATTCATATTATGCTTTGCTACAATGATATATAGATATTTTGATTATCAAAATAAATATTATATATCTTATCAAGTTATCAACATAAGAACACCGTCTATGATTTCTAACTTTGTTTATAGGGATATTCCAATCTTTATTGGAATTGTTTCCCTTTGATGCCATGTTTTTAAATCAAAGCAGAAGTAAATCAATAAAAAATGTAAATCTCACAATAACTCCCAACTATAGATTATAAAAAAATCATAAATATTTCTATACGCTTCTCTTTTTATCCAACATTGTTGATATTGAAAAGTGTTACAGAAATATAAGTGTACAGTTAGTAAATGTAAAATCTAACAATTTATATAGAGGATATTTGTTTAGTTCAGTGTAAGATAAGAATATATTTCACCGAGTGAGCACCAAAAGGTATATTTCACGAGTTGCGCAGCCACGAGTGAAATATGAACTTTTGGTGTTCACGAGGTGAAATATATTTCGATCTTACATTAAACTAAACAAATTTTCTTTTTATTACAGGCAAAGAAACGTTTAAAAAGACATTTTAACTTAGTACTAAATGAAAAGGGCGCCAAATAATAATATAACGTGACGTCATTTACGACGTCACGTCATTAAGTTGGTTTCCAGTAATGTGAACGCTTGTATTTCACTGAAACAACGTACTGGGCTCAAATATTCAAAACAGTGAAATTATCAAATCGATAATTTCACTGTTTCAAACAGTGAAATTACCAGTTTTTAACTCACTGATATATTTCTATAAACCACCGAAAAGCATGTAATAAAACTCAATCAATATACTTCATGTATAATTACACCGAGACAAATACTTATTTACAGCAGGATTTAAACTACTAATGACATATTGATGTAACAGCGTCACGCAAAGTAATCAGAAGCTATTAAATTTGATTATCAGCTAAAGACAGTCATGTTAGTCCAGCTAATTTTTTGATAACGAAGCTTATCAGATGCGTTTAAGCTATATACACAGCAAGTAAAGCAATAACATGAAATCATTTCAATATTCTGAAGACGTTTGTCTATTATTCACTTCGTTTTTTTAATATTTCAATTACTTTATACACGAACAATTTTGTCCTTATCTCGTCACTTCACATAAAATGTTTTTGATCACCAATAACCATCAAAAGAGTACCTTTTCGCAAACAAAACATATTTTTGAAATAACAATAATTAGTTTTTCAATAACTCATTGATACACGCTCTTATTTCAAGTGCATTCTGGAAACCACTATGCAACTATAGAGAATTATAATTCTTCTTGGCCATGCTTTGTTTGTATTTCCTTATCAACATATTGAATATCAGCTTCAAGGACCTTTTCCTCGTTTCCATTCGGTTCGTATTTGTGAACATCTATGTTATTCAGCTGAAATGCATTATTTGTATGCATACATGTATTTTCCGTTTGATTCTCCATTGACGTAAATTCATAATTTTCATCTTTTCCGTTTTCTTTTCGTGTTGTTGATCTTGGAAATATGCTATTATCTGCTGTGTGACGTCGTGACGATTCAATAAACTGGACGCAGTTGAAAGCTTTCAAAAAGCTCTTCCTAAACACTTCACTTAAAAAAGCATATAAAATTGGATTTATCATGCTATTGGCAAACGATAACACTGTGAAGGCGCTAAACATATATATTTGCCAACTCGGCACTTTGGTACCTGATGCTTTAAATGTAAGATTTCCTTGGAAACACCAGTAAGGTAGCCAGCAAATAACGTACACGGAAATCATAGCAAGAACCATTCGAGTGACCTTCCTATTTGACTTTTTCCTTTCTTTTGATTTCTTGCTGGGACCAACACTTTTTAACCGTAGAACGACAGATATATTAAACACTGATATCAAAGCAACTGGTATGAGGAATCCGAGCAAGAACGTATACCACGTAAAGGCTTTATCGCCAGGAATTGGCTGGTCATCCGGCCAGTGAATTGTACACGTATCTTTGTCGGCGTATTTCTGGTTTGAGACTGTAGTTGAGTATAGAATTATTGGCAGCATGACGAAAAACGATATGGACCAGATACTAAGACAAACGAAGAAAGCTATTCTCGTTGTTCTGTAGTACACTGACCGGACTGGATGGCAAACTGCGAGATATCGGTCAGCAGACATGGCTGTAAGTGTAAACACACTTGTAAAGAAATTTATTGAGAAAAATACAAAATATATTTTACACATTGCTCTGCCAAATATCCAGTATTCCAGAATAGTTGTAGTTATTAGGAATGGCAGGCTCAACAGAAACAGGAAATCCGACACCGCTAGATTTAATATGTACAGATTTGTTACGGTTTTCATTTTAGAAAACCTCAATACAACATAAATCACTAGCCCATTTCCTATTAGTCCACACAAGCAGATAAACACGTATGACGTTATCATAAAAATCTGATGTATTGGTAAGTTGGCCGAGTCCGCCCCCATTGCAGTTGTGTTGTTTCCTGCACCAGTCTGATTATCATAGTAGCATATTAGTTAATGCACTACTATAACTGTTGTATTTGGCTGTAAAGTCATTCCGTTATCTTCAGCCGTCATGTTGACGTAGTTAAATCTGAAAGTAGAAAATTCAGTAATTGACTTATAATTATTATACATTGTTATCTGTGTTACTTCGTTGTAAGTGCTCTCATATAGCGTTCACTTTCTTTGCGATTGCACTTTTAAATCACGTCAATATGAGTGTGACATATAGTTTGGCACACACAGAAGTATTAAAAATAAGTCAATATGACTTCGACAAGTAATAAAAATCAACGCAATATTATGCCAAGAAAAAATACAAAGAAATTTACGAATACGTTATAATTGACGAATGATTGATAAACGCTTTATAGTACATTTTCCCAAGAGATGGATTTTAGATTTACTGTTGAAGGCGTCATTTTGCCTTGAAAATAATGATAAATGAACTGACAGCAACTAACTGATAGAAATTATTTGTTTTATGCTTTTCAGTGGATTACTGATTTATCCGTGGAAATTTTATTTGATAATTTCACAGTAAAAATTATTGAAATATAACTTTCCCATGTGGTACTTCAATTTTATTTTTGCTGACAATTTTGACAATGTCAGACTGCTTAGAGAAAAGCAAAGCTGAAATTAATAAATAACTTTAAAAGTAATAAAAAGAAGAAAAATTACTTCTATTCATTCAAATTACCAATCACCAGATCGTCTCTTAATTTTTGTTTCATTTTTACAGTCTGAAAAATACATTCCGTCCACATGCAAAACTGTTCTTGATGACATTTGGGCATATTGAAGTATCCTACGAGCATTAACTGCCGTATGCTTTATAAAAACTTGAAAAGCAATGAGAGCCATCAGCCCGAAGAATAAGAAAATAACCCAGCGTACGTAAGGCAGCCTTTCTACAAATCCAAGTTTCCAATTTCCTAGCCGTTTTTTGTTTAATGTTTTCACATCTAACAACACTTATATATTGTCTGTTACAATCCTTAAAACAGTTTTCTTTCAAATGATATCCCTCTGAATCAAGCACAATTATTTTCCTCACTTTAAAAAATGAACACCGTTTACATTTTACAGAGCCAGGTCTAATATAAATTCGCAGTAAGTAACATAAATATGGATGGATGGTTTGACTTTTTCTCTTACTAGAATTGTTTGTTTTCATTTTTAAAACAAGCGATAATTCATATTTTTGTTAATAAAATGAATAATATCACCGCCATTTAACGTTGATTATCGAACATATTTTTCAGCCCAAGACTTCTTGTATTTTATGAGAAATTCGACTAATGTATATAATAGAGGCTACCAGTGGGGAAAAAAGATTTTAATATTCAAGTTAATATAAAGGAAATTTCGTTTTAACTTGTTTTGAAGCATAAAATAAAAAGAAAATTTGTTTGTTTGTTGTGTAAGATGGAATTTTATTTCATCTCGTGAATTTTAAAAAACAGTATTCTCACTAGTGGCTATGCCACTCGTAAGAATACTGTTTTTAAAGCTCACTCGATGAAAAAGAATTCCATCTTAAACACAAACAAACAAATATCCTCTATATCTTTACTTTTTGCTCAACATTAACTCCATAGACAATATTAATTAATCCACCTGTGGTAAAAGTGTGATGATTTCATGTTTGATATTTTTCTGATTTTTGCGATTAATATGAAACCAAAAGTGTAACTAAAGAAAATTACTTGAAGGAAGATTTATATCGTATTCCAATAAAATATCCATTAGGCAAAGATGTCTCAAGACCTCTCTGTGATTGTATTTATCAATACAGTCACGGAAGTGATTTATAAGAAGACCTTCTAAATACATCATCGATTGTCTGCTGTCAGATGATATCACTAAATCGAAAGGTAATCCGACACAAATCACTTTATTCACTTATTTCAAGCTGAACTTGTTAACGGAAAGTCCATTTCTAATACAAGTAAAAAAACCGCAACACTTTACTCTTTAAATTTTATTTTTTTCACAATTTTACAACGTCAAGATTTGAGACGATACAAAACTGTTTTTTTGTTTGTTTGTTTGTTTAAGAATAAGTTTAAGCACTACATTCATATTTTCGAAACTAGTTGAAACCACATGAAGTAATTTGATCTTATTTACTCCTTATTAACCCAAGGAAATTACATTACAATTGTCAAATTCCTACTCGTGCAGTGTTTCGTTTTCAACACAAGGACGTTTCCTAAAAACCGACATGACACTACCATATTATTTGATATATCATGGTTTCAAAAATGTTGAGATATAAGCACTGTGCTCTAACATACACTGATGAAAATTGAAAGATAACAAACTATTTTACGGATTTGTAAATCGTCGGATACAAGTTTCTGTAAATCAATTATCTCGATCTATTTGGGATACAACGGCTATCATGATATGTATAATTTAAAGTTTGTGTGCAAGAATAACAGTATGAAGTATACATTTTAAACGAAAAAAAAAACTTTATAAATTGATCTTTCACTTTTAATCATAATAATGTCGGTCTTTATAATCGAAAAATAGCTATTCATGTCATTTAAAAAGACCCATAAACGTCTCCTGTTATGTAACTTGCTATAGAACGTTCCATTCCGATTACGTTTACCGATATTTTATAATCTAGAACGAGCAAATGATATTATGTTATAAGAAAGAAATCTATATTGATACCATGTTAATTACAAACCACTTTCTAAACATGTTTAAATAATATTATGGTTACGCTATTGTAATTCGATGCGTTTAATTTATAAAAATTGATCGTCTCTTATGAGAAGACAAAGTTATTAATTGTTGCTAATAAAATATATTGATTTACTATTAAACTTTGTCTTTGTCATAGTTTGACTACAGAAATAGTTTGTGATACATTCAATAACCTTTTATAATCTACATTTACAAAATGTCCCGGCTGTGACCGTAACATGAATCTTCGTGATAAAGTTGAGATAATTCAATAAGCTTCTGATTTATGTTTCACACAGATGCTGATCTTAAACTAACAAATCGACCATCTGCACAGATAAACAAGACTTGCGTTTTAATGAAACTGACAAACGTGTTTATCTTTATCACACATGACGGTGTGATAATAAACGTGCATTTAAAAGAATGACATAGTGCGTATGGTATTTATCTTTAAACACAGGGCTTGTAGTCCCGGGTCTCGTTTGACTAACTTGTTTCATAAACCACTGTTACATTAAAATGTTTGTAAAGCTAAAAAACTGAAAGATTAAAGATATGTTATAACTTAGTTACACTCAAGTGTTGTTATTTTGGATGATTTATTCATATATTGCTATGGTCACTGTTTTGTGGCGTCTTGTATGTTGTATGTCTCCTTATCATTTATGAACATACACAATTAAATGGAGCTTGCGATTTTTCACCTTTTGTATCTTGATTTCATTGCTCAACTATCTCCCTGTTACCAGATGTTTTATATTAAATCAAAGAATTATAGTAATGCATAAATGCGTCAGGAAAAGTTGTAATATCTATATTATAGACCCCTTTTTAAAAAAAAGGAGATATAATTATTTCCTAGGGATTTTTTTATTCATTTATCAAAATTAATTTTGAAAAAAGATTATGCAAATACATATTACACATTTTCCGTTTATTCACTACACGAAAATAATGTGTTATGCTATTTTCAACTGTATTCGCATTATCTGAAACCTTACGACTGTGCTGTAATATAATAGGATTTGCGGAAATGACTGTATGCGCAATTAAAACTGAATTATTAAAGAATAAATATTCCGAAATATCATGCATCAATTTTTACTGCTGAAGCTGCTGGTATATATTTAGCATTGTCATACATAGTACATCATACCCATGATAAATTTGTGATATTTTCTGACTCCTTTTCTGTTTTAATATCCATTAAAAATAAAGAATCTTTACAATGTCATGATAAGGAAACTTCTTTACGATTTCATGATATACTTAAAAAAACTGACTTATTGTTACCTGCTTGTGATTTTAGACCGGCTATAAATAAACTCGTATCATCTGAATGGAAAGCCAATTTAATAAACTTCACGATATAAACCCAACTCTTGATGTGTAACCATCTCTATCTCTGTCAAACCGCCATGATCAAACAGTTCTTCTTCGGAATGCCGAATTGAACACACTAAATTTACCCACTCTTATCTCCTCACGAATGACAATGCCCCTATCTTTGTAGCTTGTAATGAAAATTTTACTGTCAAGCATTTTCTTCTTGAATGTCATGATATTTCACAGGCCCGTAATAGATTTTATTGTGTAAATTCAATCAAAGAACTCTTTAATACAATTCCATCCAAAAACATCATTGATTATTTGAAAGAGATAAACTTGTATTCTAGGATCTAATTGGCTCATTTTTATTGTCATTTACAAAGTTTAACATAACATTTAAAGCCTATTATAGCATTCGGCACGATATGGCCAGTTATGTGTTGACGTGCCTTAAAAATCCAAACAAACAAACCAACCTAACAACTTCTTACAATACTTTAAATGTATATTTTCTAATACATGACTATCAAGTTAACCCCATATTTGTGATCCATAGTTAAGAATTGGTAAAATAAGTTGATCAAATAAATCCAGTTTATGTTTAACTGATATGCAATGAAATCTTATCAACTCTTTTTCAAGTTTATACAACGCCTTCAATGGTTGTCCAGAAATTGTCTCAAAAGTCATATTAAAAGATCCGCCTACAGAAAAAAAAACAATGCCCAGGTATGTAAACTTTTTAACTATTTCAATTGATTGACCTTTATAATAAAAATTCAAATTCTGTCTAATATGTATCTTCAAAGTAGACTTTGTTTGGTAAATGATTAATGCTTACGGGGAAATATTTACAATAATTATAATGAAATAAAGTTGTTTATGAACAGCACCGGTTTTAAATAGAATATGGTATAAACCTCTCCCCAGATGCCTACGAATAAGTAAAATAATAATGAAACATTTGCTGAGCACAATTTACATATTATTGACAGATGTCACTTTTAAGAAACCGGTATTTTCTTTTGTTTTCATTGCGCCG